AAATTAGGGGTACCTTTTGAGGGGGCCCAATAGTTAAGAGTTTAGGGAAGAAGCGGAAGTTTTCTGAAAGGATCTCGAATTTAGGGACAGGCTGTGAGACGAAGAGATTAGGGTCTAGGGTTTGGGATTTAGGGTTTAGCAGGTAGGGTTAAGGGATTAAGGTTGTGGTTTCATGGGTTATGCGGATCATCTTCAGGTAAGAACTGGAAGGCTTGAAAGACCAGGACTTGGATACAAAAAAATGGGTTGCTGTTAAGGAACTTAAATTACAGCACCAGAACTTAAATTACAGCACCAGAATACCCCACAGGGTTTAGGGTTTAAAGCTACCATAATGTGGAGTGTATTTTGCCATAATATGGGCGTGTAGTAAACCCTAAACCCTAAATCCTAAATTCACAACAAGCCAGAAAACTGGTCATCTTAGAGAAACAGCCATTGGGGAACTCCCCATGTCCCACAGCTTACTCGTGCTTTAGGCAGACTGGGGGAGCGGATCCCGAAAATGACCCCTAAATTATAATCCCCATATATACCCCTGTAATTACGTAAATCCCTACAATACTCCCTATTTGATCCCCAATGCAAACGTGCGTGTTAGGCAACAACAGATGTTATGGAGTGGGTATGTTCAATTCTTAAGCGCCCTAAACCCTAAACCCTAATTCTGCCCTCAAGCTTAGCTTAAAGACCAGGAGTGCACGAAAGGTGTGCACACGTTCCGCTCTTTTCCTTGCGAGAGCAGCTGATCACGCGGCTGAGGAGTCTCAAGCACCTGAGCTGTCGTGCCTGCAACGAGCTGCACCGTCCCCAAAGACCCCGATACCCTGAGCCGAGAAGGTTCATTCAGGCCTAAGAAATGCACCCCCCAAAAAACTCCTACAAACACATCACTTGCGTGGCCGTTTTCTGCTACTCTTAACATTGAGTAGGATAAGCTGCTTTGCTAGTGAAGGATTCTCCTCAATGAGTTGGTGAAGCTGCTGCTCCTGCTGTTCCAGCAGCTTGCATCCATCTGCCTGGATCATCTTCCAGCAAGCCAACTCGATGCTGGAGTTGGTTCCACTCAGCCGCCCCAGAAGACTCAGGCAATTTTCAGGACAAAGCAAACCCAGCAACTCAGAGTCGGCCAGCTTAACCAGCTCCTTCAAGCAGTAGCGATCCCCCAGCGCGCGGACAGCAAATGCCAGGTCCACGTCTCCTTCGGCTTGAAACGACCCAGAGATGATGAAGCGGAAGATTGCACTTATGGCTCCCTTTGATGCGAGCTGATCAGTGGACAGATCTACGACCTGCTTCTGGCCTTCCAACCACTTTGACTCAGAAAACATCTCTCGAAAGTAGTCTGACCTGGCTACCAGCAGGCGTTGATCGAAGAAAAGCCTGCAGCCTTCAGGTAGATCAAATGCAACGGGCTGCAGCACCTCCTCAAAGTCTACGAATCTCACATCAGACACAAGACTATTCGCCACTGGCAGGCCCCTGACTTCCGCACAGACACATATACTAGTGGTTGTCGCCCACTTGCTGTCGTTCCAGCGGATGATGTCATGCCAGCCACGGTCGTTTCCTGATTTGTCGAACGTGAAGGTGTCTTGTCTCGTCACTTCTGCAGTATGTGACTCTGTACTCCGAGCTGCGATGCCGTACATTACATCCTTACATGCCCAGCTTGTCTCTGCAACTGAAGCTGGAGGGATAAGCTCGACGAACGCCGCGAGCGCGTTGGCCACAGAGTTGGACGCTCCAGAGGTTCCTGTAGGGTAGACGAGGAGTTGGCAGCGGAAAGATCCAGTGGGCCCCTGGATGTCTGATCGGAGCGACGTGCCTTGCATGCAGTGGTGCAAACTACCTAAGCTAAGGGAAGACGCTGCTGAGAAGACCGTGGGCCTTCCATGCGGTGGCTGGAAGCCAGGCCACTACACCCTAAAAATCTGAAATTAAACATAAAAAGAGACTTGCACCCCGCATACAAACATGAGCAGAAGCTCTAACCCTTCTTCCCACCACACCGGGTTTTCACCTAAACCCTAAAGCCCAAACCCCTAAACCCTAAACCCTAAACCCTAAACCTTGAACCCTAAACCCTAAACCCAGGCCTTGTTCGTAGGACTGGGGATCGGAGATTGTCAGTTGTAGCCATTCTTGCCGCCCAATAGGCTTGTGGCTTGGGAGGATGGTCGACGTCTCAGTTCCAGGGGCTGTTCGCTGGCAGCACACCAGCATCAGGATGCTCCTGAACCCTAAACCCTAAATAGTAGTCCCCATTTTATTTTCCATAATCCCAATATAACCCCAATATAATCCCAATATTAGAATAGTTTCCATGTGATTATCCATTATCCCAATATAACCTCAATATAACCCTGAGCCTACTGCTGCGCAAGTGTTGGGAAGGATCTGGCTGAGCCACCAGACACGCTGCGTGGAAAAAAACCGTCAGGAACTGCTTGGTAGCTTTGTGCACCCACGGTCTGTGGCTTCAGGATTTGTTCATCTGCATCAGCCAAACCTCATGGTTCTGCCCGGTGAGATTCAACACCACAAAACCTCCTTCAAAGGACAAGGAACAGCAAAAGAACAACTACCTTGCATGTCATCCCCAAACCCAGGGTAGTTTCCCAAAACAGGCAGACCGCAACATAGACCTCAAAATACTACACTCCTTACTGCGTGGACCCCCAAACTGCTACCCCTGACTTTGGGAAACCCCAACATCCCAAGACGGACAGCGGCAGGGGCAGCTGGGCCTTCTCAGGACGGATGAAACAACCTCGGTCAGCCGGAAACTGCTTCCTTGTCATTGAAAAACTTGTTGGTAATTATGGGAGTCCCTAAGAGGGATTTAGGGTTTAGGGTTTAGGGTTCAGGGTTTAGGGCTTAGGCTTTGGGGTGTGGGGTTTAGGGTATATGGTGGTTAGAAGGGAATAAGAAAAAATGTTCAACCAAGTCTGAGATAGGGACTAGTTTCCCTTATTCCCTGCTAACCACCAGTAATAAAGTCTCACTACATCTGAGGTCGATGACACTGCAAGCTGTGCATTGCAGCAAGCTGATAACTCTGAAGCATGGAAGGCTTTAAGAAAGCCCAATGCAACAAGATCGCTGACAGGGCTTGTTCGAGAGAGATGATCTGTGGATTCTAAGCCAGCAACCCATAAGAACGGCCGCAACACCAGGAATCACCTAAGCATTGGAAGTTCGTGTGAACAGTACAGTACCACGCACCTGCAAGCCAAGCACAAGTCTGTATCCCACAGACAAACGGACAGCAAAAACTGCTGGCAGAAATTGCTCTAAGCCCAGCGCAGAAAAGCTAACAACATGCAGAACCTGAGTTGTTGTGCCGCTGGAGACAAGCAGGCTGTTTCTAAGCCACTGAAACCAGAAAAGGCTGAGCTCCCCACGAGCACTGTGGATGCAGAAGAGAAAGATCTCAGATACCTAGCAGTTGCACGTCCGCCTAACTGTACTTGACCTGCTGCAAATTTTCGACTTCTAGACAAGCCGTTCAGCCCTGTCACTCTGATATCGCAGTATCGGGTGCTTGCTCCTGACAGTGGGAACATTCAGAGTGTCACCTTAAACCCTGGCCCAGCTATGCACGCATAGCCGTAGCTTGAACTTGCAGCATGGCAATGGCGCCAGTGGGGGGGATCAAACCACCCGTAGTCCGAAAAGCAATGCCAATTTCGTTGCAGCAGCCATAGAGGCTCTGTCTAACAAGAGTCACTGCGGTATTATAGTTGTTATAACTAGAAGCTTACTACTGTGGTGATGCTCAAATTTCCAGCTTTTGCAGGGACAGCTTTCCAGTGTCTAGGTCTGCTGCGATGGCATGGAGGTCATCAGCAGGCCCGCAGATATCGGCAGCAGTGCACCTGCCGTTGCTTGCAGCAGTCTCTCAGGAGGCATGTGACGCATGTGAGGCAGAAAGGAAGAGTCATGACTGCTGGTTGGCCTCGGTCGCGATATGATATGTTCTACCTACAGGTCCTGCGCACACGGACCCTAAGCTCTAAGCACCAGTAACCCAATGTACCCCATAATCCCTGTTGAATCCTTATATAATATGTTCCCTTATTAAGCCCCAGTAAGCCTAGGCATCCATTCTCAACTACAAGGCCTGCGCTGAAAAGCCAACATGCCACCAAGAAGAGTCGGAGCAGGAAGCTGGAAGATGCACCTAGAGGGCTTAGGGTTTAGGGTTTGGGGTTTAGGGTTTAGGGTTTAGGGTTTAGGGGCTTACTGGAGCTTAATATGGGTATAGGGACTTTATAGAGATTGCATAAGGGTTATATACCGATTATATAGGGATTATGGGGGGTTACTAGGGAATGCCGGAACATATATTTCCATAATGTGTATATTGGGATTATATTCCCTTATTCCCTACTCAGAACCAGTACGTAAGTTGGACGTCTGCTCTGAAGGCAATTGGATCCCAGGTGGCTACGTGAGCCATTGTTGACTCTCCTGACAGGAGGCTATATATGGGACTATTTAAGGGGGATACTAGGAGTTTAGGGTTTAGGGTTTAGGGTTTAGGGTTTAGGGTTTAGGGTTTAGGAGTTTAGACTTTTGCTCACATGACGTTGTCCAAGTGATCCTGACCTGTCTACTCTCTGAAAGTGCCTGCGGGAAGGCAAGCCTGGGTGATATCCAACAATCAGAGCCCGATGAGGACATTCCTGTAAGTCACCCCAAACAAAATACTGCACCATAGATCCTGCGTAAAAGAACTCAAACTCACACAAGTAGGGAATAAGGGAATATGATCTCTATATAACCCTTGTACACTGTATTCCCTTACTGGTTCTTGTGTCCCGGAGTTTGCCGCCCGAGCACTGTTCAGCGGAGCACATAGCGCAGCCAGCGCTGCAAATGCGCAGGCAACACGCAGTGCCACCTCATCAGGCAGTTGGATCAATAACTAATGGGTTATATAGGGGTTATATATGATGGAAATGAAATGGAAATTATTATACTCTTAGGGTTATATAGGGGTTATATATGATGCAAAAATAGACTGGAAACTATTATAATCTTGGGGTTATATAGGGGCTATATAGGGATAATGGAGAAGAAAATGGAAATTACTGTATAGGGTTTAGGGGTTAATTAGGATTAGGTATAGGGATATATAGCGACGAGTAGTAATACATAGTATAGGGATCAGTACTACCATAACAGGTTCCATTTTCTCGTCCATTAGTCCGATATCACCCCCAATAGAATACACCCTAAACCTAAAACCCTAAACCCTAAGCCCCTAAACCCTAAGCCCCGTAACCCTAAGCCCCTTAACCCTAAGCCCGTTAACCCTAAACCCTAAACCCTTACAGTATTTGTAGTGCAGCTGCAGGTCGAAGGGCTTAGCAACATGCAAACAGCCTGAGGTCTGCACAGCATGCATACCAGCCTGTGCACAACTTACTGGGTGTAGGGATCAGGGTTTAGGGGTTTAGGGTGTAGGGTTTAGGGTGTAGGGTTTAGGGTGTAGGGTTTAGGGTTTAGGGTTTAGAGTTTAGGGGCTTAGGGTTTTGGGTTTTGGGTTTAGGGGAATGCATTACATAGGGATGATATTCCCTTATTCCCTACTAAGCCCCAGTAAGACAAGTCGGGGAGTTGCTCTTTGTACCCTTAGGGTTTTGACCCCAGGGTCTGGATCCCTGAACCATGGAATCATAACCCTTAATTCAGGTTTGTGGGACAAAGCCCAAGGTTACAGACCCTAAACCCTAAACCCTAAATCCTAAAACCTAAATCCTCAACCCTAAATCCTAAACCCTAAATCCTAAACCCTAAGCCCAAAACCCTAGAACATGTGGGACGTTCCAAACGAAGCACGGAACTGAGCCTTGAAGCCATCCACACGGTAGCAAGCAATGGCACCAACATACCTGGCAGCAGAATTCGGTGCTTTCCCTTACTTATATAGGCGTTACATAGGGATTACATAGGGTTATATAGGGTTACATAGGGGTTATATAGGGTTAGGGTTTTTATAGGGTTAATAAAAGGTCATATATAAGGATAGTGGAAAGATGAAATGGAAACTACTAGTATTTGGGGATTATGTAGGGGTATGTGGTAGTTCCCAAAGTAAGGGGATTCCAATATAGGACCCCAAAATACCATAATCCTTCTTATGGGGACCCCAAAAAGGGACCCTTAATTTTGGGAAATCTTCATAAATTCCCTTTTTCGATCGCCGCTGGCTGATTCAATGTCTAGTCAGATCTGGAAGGAATGCGCGGGCTTCTCCAAACTAGATGTAGCATTTTGGGGGGTCCCATAATAAAGATGATGATAATTTTTGGGGTCTGTTTTGGAATCCCCCCCTTTTATGGAAACTACCCAAACCCTAAACCCTAAAACGCGTGGCATCAACATCTCATGCCAGTGGGTCGTTCCAGCCGCAGGGCAGCAGGACAATATCAAGGCGGCCAGCAGCAAGGACACCTTGCTCAGAGGCTCATGGGCAGTCACGCGTGGGATTAGTAGAAAGGTTAATACAGGGATAAAAAGGGCTTAGCAGGATTTGGGGCTCAGGGTTTAGGGAATAGAGTTATAGGGTTTGGCAAGTCAGTGGGGTCATGAGTCCCCTAATATGGCTTGTGAAATTACTTTCCTTGCTTCTACCTGCAAAAATGGCTACCCATCACTATTCTGAAACAAGCGCAGGGCAAGCAGTTTTTCGTGAGTCGCAACTTGACCGTTGGGAATTTCGGTGCATAGCTCCACGACCAAGCGCAACTAATTGCTCTGAACCTAAACGAACATACCATAAAGGCCCCTTTAACAGGACACCAGGCTACATATGGCGCTTTCAGGGTTGCGCCATAGGTTGTGGGAGGGTAATGTAAACCCCGGATCATTAAACCCCCTCCCCTTAATAGGGATTATAATAGGGATCCTAAGATTACGGCCCTTAAAAGGATGGGGTTTATTAATCAGGGGTCTACATTGCCCGTTCTTCTTCCAAACCACCTGACCCCTTACGTACCGGTGGCTTAACAGGGACTGAAGGAATGGAATTTTGGGCGCCTGGTTTAAGGTTTAGGGTCTAGGGATTGGGCATGATACAAGGGCTTCTGTAGGGATCCGTTTCTCCAAGAAGCCTGAAATCTCAAATCTAAGAACAAAGTGCTTTCCATATTCTTTTGGATTCCCCACAAATCCTCATAAGCCCTAAACCTTAAACACAATAGCAATTTCAATTT